TGTTAATGGACTTTAGGAGAGCCCTTATATTCTACCACCTCTTACAGAATTAGACAAACAGTTTCAACAGTAGAGACCTTCAAGCCTCTGAGTTCTATAATCTCCAGGACTTGAAATGGACATCAAATATTTGAACCATCATTAAAAAGCTATAACATCAGATGATGTAGGTCCTTCCTCAGAAAGCTCAGACTGTCCAAGAAACTGCTAATATAGTTCTACAGAGGAATTATTGAATCTGCCATTTCTATGTCTTTAACTGTTTGGTTTGATACAGCAATCAGACAGGGCAGGTACTGTCTATCCAATAGATCGTTAGGCCACAGGGAAAAAAAAATGATTGCAACCAGCTTACCTTCCATTGAGGACCTGAATACTGCACAAGTCAGGAAAAGGTCTGAGAAAATAGAAAATAGCTACAGACCCCACACATCCTGGGCATAAACTGTTTCAACTCCTCCCCTTTGGATGCATTCCAAAGACACTGCATGCCAAAACAACTAGACACAGAGACAGTTTTCCCCCTCATGCCATTAATCATCTGAACATATAATTCTCACAATACTGTCTTATGTCTAAGGATATTTTCCCATGTAGTAGGTTGTATTACTATTATCCTTCTCATCTTTCCTATTACCTTCTATTATTGATATCTTATGATTACCTTGTCTTACTTTGTTGTTTGTATGTAAACTGAATATGCACCAAAGACAAATTCCTTGTGTGTCCAATCACACTTGGTCAATAAAGAACTATTCTATTCTGTTCTATTCTGTTCTATTCTATTCTATTCTATTCTATTCTATTCTATTCTATTCTATTCTATTCTTTTCTTTTCTTTTCTTTTCTTTTCTTTTCTTTTCTTTTCTTTTCTTTTCTTTTCTTTTCTGTTCTAAATGTGTCAGTATATTGTAGTAATTTACCGCAAAAAGTTATTTCTACCATTTAATCTCCCTCTAAAATAATTCTCAATTTATATTTATAAAAGGTAATGGATTCTTGATAATAGAACAAAGAATCATAGGGGTGGAAGGGACCTCTGGAATCTTCTACACCAACCCTCTGCTCAAGACAGGAAACCTTATACCATCCCAGTCAAATGATTGTCCAGTCTATTTTTGAAAACCTCCAGTGATGGAGCACCCAGAGAAGCAAGCTATTCTTGCCAGAAAATTTCTCCTTATTTCTAGCTAGACCTCTCATTGACAAGCTTCCACCCATTATCTCTTTTCTTGCTCTCTGATTAAACCAGTGGCCAAAATACTTTGTGATCCTTAGCCTTAGAAAATGGAATCAAGAATCAGTATATATAACGGCTTAAACTCTAGAAAAAAGCAATAACTGATCTTAATCTGTCACAGGATCTCTCTCCTAGAATCAGAAGCCATTTTTATCCATGTAGTTCTCACCGTAATACCGTTTCCCCCAAAATAAGATGTCCCCTAATAATAAGCCCAATTGGGCTTTTGAGCACATGGCAATAAGGCCAAGCACTTATTTCAGGGTTCAAAAAAATATAAGACAGGATCTTATTTTCAGGGAAACATGGTAGCTTTCTGCAACACACTGAAGATCAGGATGCTTTCCTGGACTTTGGGGTGGGATGGCTGGGACCTGTTGGATGTTTCAAGGTGTGAATGCTGTTTTTTTGGATTTACAATCTGTTCTTTTTCTCTTTTTTCTTATTATTCCTTTTGTTATTATATTCTATCGACTGCGCTTGGTATATTGTTTGGATGTATTGCACACCATCTAGAGTCAGAATGGATGGTGTTTAAACTGAATACATTAAATTAAATTAATCATTGCATCTAGGGCAATGGGGACATGATTTTAATATAATCTGGCAATAATAGGGACTAATGGTCACAAGTGGGCAATTCAAGTACTTGAGAATTTGGAACACTGAATTCCAAATGACAATATTATGAATAAGCTATTCCTATAACAGCACATGTATTGTATTGCTATAATGTTAACTTTATTAACAATTGTTTTAATTAATCAGTAAATATAATTTTTCCCTCAATATTGCTAATTGCTTATAGTCTTGTCCTACCTTTGACTATCCTTCTTATATATAATTTGGAGAATTTGAATTTTCCAATGAAAGTTCAAGCAATTTTTTATCCTTATCAGTGTGTCCATTACATTTCTATTTTGTATAATATCCAAAACACTGCTGTTTTCATCTTGTGAAAAACTAATTAGAATAGCACAAAATTGTAAATCTAATCCCAGTGAAATCATATACTATCATACTGGATATTTAGTCAAGACATATTCACAATGGCCAAAATCTATTCTACAGTTATTTTACCCAAATCCAAAGGAGAGCATAAGTGTTTCCGTTTCTTCATAAGCATTGCGTAGTTTTAGTAACATGATTAATTTACAAAGTATAATGGTGATTTGGGCCATTTTTTTTCTTCCTTTGTATATCTCCTACAGTTCTTTGAAGGACTTTTTAATGAAGTCCTGAATTTTATGAAGATAGAATAACATAATATGCCATTCTAATATGTCAGTATGAATATGTTAGGTTCCTATTTTCTCTTTCAAAAGTTTTCTAAGAGTCCTATTGGTTTCTTCTGAGTTTTTTTATTTGTCTTTATTGATTGCTTATCAATAAACAAATAAAAAAAACTCAAAAGAAAGCAATGGGACTCTTAGAAAACGTTTGAAAGAGAAAATAGGAACCTAACATATTCACCTCTACTTTCTTCTCAGAATGAGAATCCAATAAGGCCATTCAAAGAAATTTAATTGGTAACCAATTCAATTATATTTCATTTAGTACTTACCGTACTATAGGAAAGTCATACAATCATAATTCAGAATATAAATAATTAAAATCACAAGGAAACAAAAAAAATTAAAGGTGTCAAGTGCACAAAATGTTAAGAATGGAAGTGAACGAAAGCTTGCTAGAGTCAAAATGCATCTCTTCTAATGAAAGGCTACATCTGCACTCTTTTTTCAGATTCAAGACATTAATTAAGATGGAGAAACATGATGTCGTGACCTTGTTCTTAGAGACAGTTCTCTTTTGAGTAAAAATAAGCACATTAATTTCAAGCTATGGAGTTCATTCTCTGCTTAGGCAGAAAGCCACTAACAATGCAACAATGAATACAAAAGCATTCACCCCTCAGAAAGCTATTAACCGTTGCTGGACTGCTGCCAGGATGAAAAGAAAACATACCTGAGGATAGAAAGCAATTTCTGGGTCTGCAGACTTATTTCAGCACTTATAACAATTTCTCAGATCAGCAAAAGAACAATTGCAGCTGATTAAACCACTCTCTATTTGTTAAAAGGCTCTAGAAGAAAGTTATATTGAATTCCATTTGGCTGCTCTGTTCTTGTAGTTATGGCAACTTTAAGACTCCTTTTTATAACTCCTAAAGTACATCCAAACCAAAAGACACTATAGTACTGTGCATTACAGAACAATCAGGACTTTCCTGAGAACTACTTTCTTGTTCTACAACCATTTCGAATAGGACTTTCTGAAAACAAGAGCCTGTTGCTGTGAGAGATAATGTACTAAGACCATCTTCAGCTATGTTCCCTTGTCATGTGGCCAGCATGACTATATGCTGAAGTCTATGGAACACTATTACCTTCACACCAAAGTGGTACCTATGCCTATCGCAGCATATTCCAATTCATAATATCATCATGGATACCCAAAAGAACAGAGTAAAATTCATTTTGAATCTCGCAGCTTCAGTTATTAGAAATGCGTCTGTTGTAACTTAATTTTAGGGTTTAGCAACTTTAAAAATAAATTTATTTTATATATAAATATAAATAAACTTTAAAAATCATAATCAAAGCAAATAAGTTGTTCTGCTATGGATACCAAAGCCGCACAAAGCCAACAATCCACTTGATAGGATATGACTTATTTTACTGAACCAAATCATTTGACATTTGTCTCATATTTATTTTCAAACAAAATTGCTACAAGGGCAATTCAGAAGTGACAGACTCATTGTTTATTGTTTTCTCCTTTTCTTTGCTTAGTTTTTGCATGGATGTTTTGTCTTGACCCATCATGGAAAGAAATTTCTGAAATATTTATTTTTTTAACATGAAGGACAGAACTAATTGAAATCAACTGAAAGTATCTGAACTCCTCTTGATTTCAACCTGTCTATCATAGTAGCCAACTTGTATTCCCAACTTGGTGGTTGTTATGATCTGCAGAAAAGGGAGGCTTTTCTGAAGCTCCCCACCCTTGTCTGGTATGTGGGAGTGGGCCTTCTCTTGTCTTGCTTCTGTGCTATAAAGTGCAGATGTTCTCCACTCATTGTAAAAATGCAATGGAAAATTTGAATCATTGCTGAATGAATGATTTTAAGTTGAGGACTACTTATATACATTTGATTATGCTTGCTTTCAACTTTCCTTAAAATCAAGAACTACAATGTTCACGGTCATTTTTTCCCAATACTGTGTTTCCCCGAAAATAAGAGTCTGTGTTATATTTTTTTGAACCCTGAAATAAGCACTTGACCTTATTGCCATGTGGTCAAAAGCCTGATTGGGCTTATTATCAGGGGATGTCTTATTTTGGGGGAAACAGGGTAGTACTGTTATGTCTATTTCCTCAACTAAGTTTCTCTAAATGCAAAGTAATAGGTTTTTCTGTTTGCTAAATTCTCTCTCTCTCTCATTTCTATTTTCATGGTGATAGATTCAAATATATATTTTCCATATATTCTTCCATGTAAATTTGTGAATTTAAAAAGGTGATTCTGCAGATAATTGCCAGCCATGTTTCCTATACACTGATTAGGAAAAGTTATGAGTGTACTTTGTTTCAAAGTGTTTTAAGATTTAATAAATGGAAAACAGTAACATCCTTGCATTATTCTTGGAAACAGTACAATGATCATGCATTCTTGTTGTCAGTGATTTAGGAATAAGCATATTTCAGTTCCATTTATTTTTCAGAAAGTATGTCTAGCTTAACATTATGAGCTGTTTACCTTTACTGCAGAAAGGACCATCATAAGCTGTTTTGGAGCAGTCACATGAATATCCATTATATTTTTCAACACATTTGCCACCATTTTTGCAATGTATTCCATAGCTCGTGCAATGGCCAGAACAACCAGGTTTCACACCTGGGGTAACTTTTGCTCTCTCTTCTAAATCCAGAGTCAATCCATTCATTCTTAAAGAGCGAATGCAACCCAAAAATCCTTTCTGTTCACCTGCAGCACCTGAGGAACATAAAATGTCAAATGAAAAATGAACCGAATGAACAGAAAATTAATGAACTTAATGAAACATGAAGAATAGTTTCAGCTGAAATCCAGAAGCCAAATAAAGCCTTGTAAATGGAATTTTATTCAGTTGCCATCCCAGAGATATGGGTGGAAGGATGTTTATTTCAATAGGTCTCTCACTCTAAAATTCCATTAAATTTTGGAGTGAGAGAACTGAGATTTGCCCTGTTCTCAATTGTTTTTCTAAATGTGCAAACCATAGGAGAGCACATTAACTTGAAAAGGAGATTAATTTATTTTTTTTGCTATATAGTGACTGAGTAACCTTTAGGTCTTAAAGTAAGTCTAGAAAAAGAAATAGACAAAATTCAAATGAAATTAATTAAATGCAGCAGTATTAAAAAATAACAGTTGCAATTAATAATTTGCAAAAGGAAGAAGCAGATAAAAGAAATGATCAGTTTATCTGCAAATGCCTTATTGTTCAACATGAATAATGGGAATTTTTCTAAACTTATTCCTCCAACAGCTGTTGGATTGATTCTTTACATTCCATTGTTAGCACATTTAGTAATAATAACCCAAATCAACATGATCTCAGATTGCTATCAATAATTATTAGATGATAATCTAATAATGATCTGATGATGATAATGCAATAATAATGTACTACTATTTTCAAATACTAAATAGAAACATACTGTAGATTTTGTTTATAGAATTTCTTTATGGAACAAAAGGTGAAAAAGTTAATATAACACGCATATATTAAGTGGTATATGGAAAGAAAGAGTAACATGTTTAACAAGTTGATTGTTTTTTCAATGTTAATTTTTTTCATTTACTTTTATAATATGCAAACTTCCTCAGTTGTAGTCCCAAACCAATCCATTTGGCTTTTCCCAGAATCAATGGATCCCTTTTTGTCAGCAACAAGTATGCAACAAGTACTTTTCGTTTATTGTGAATCAAGTACTCCTAGATATCTTAATTGTTTTAAAAGATATGTAATAAATCCTAAAATATCCACCTGACAACAATTATAAGCAGTGGTATCACCATAGAGGATATCCTTTTTATTATTCTTATATTCTGTGTCCAGTTTCACTTACCCTTTGAAAATAAGATTTGATTCCTACAGCATCTATAAATATCATACGTTTTCAAACTTTACGACATTTGCTCAGTCCTAGAAAAATAATGCTTAAAATATTTTTCTTAGAAGTCATGCATTTCTTAACAGCCAAATGTAAATGAAAACCAGATCAGTGAGGTTCGACATATATGAGAAGTTTAGGGTCTCATTCATAGCATTTATTTCTGTGTGGAAGGCTTCAGGTTCACTTCTAAGAATAGAGCATCGCAAAGTCTGAAGAGTTGGTACATTTCAGTATAACACAGCTTTTAAGATATCCCAAACAATTTATTTGCATATTATTGTTGAAAGAAATGTCCATCTGGGTTCAATTCCAAGTGGGAAGAAAGACACTGGAAACATGGAGACTGCTTGGAAAGATAGTTTAATGATGGACAAAAGGTCCTGGGCAAAAAGAGCATGTGGGTGAGAGGGATTTATACCCTCTGTTGGGCTTTGAACTTGCTTCCTGTTCCTGAGGCAAGAAATGTATCCTGATTTGTCAGACACCCATGCTGGATTGAATCTTGCTGGGTGATGTAATCTTCCCAGGTACCATGTGGTGAGATGGGTAGAGGGCCAATCCTATTATGTCCTGAAGGTGAAGGTCTTTTGTGTTGTAGATAAGCTGGCCCAGCCTTTTGTCTTGTAAATAATCAAAGTATCTGCTGGGGGCTGGAGCTGAGTTTCTCTCTTAAGATTTCTATTTCTCTTTTAGGGGAAATATTCTGCCTTTTTAATATTTCCTAGAATATTTCATTTTTCTAGGAGAAGGGTGGGTGCTAACTTCCTACACTATTAGCTCTGTAAAGCAAGGAGCAGTGTATTATGTTATCCTAGCACCAAATCAAAAAATTGACCAGCCACATAAGTGGATTTCCTGAAAGCAGATATATGTTGAGGGATAAAATCAGCACTGTGTGAAATGATGAAAAGAGTAAGTCAGAAAATTCATTTTCTCCTATGTTAATAGAAGCGGAGCAATGAAATAAATTAAAGTGATGTATAAGCCTTCAGGATTTTGGCAGGTACCAGATCAACAGAGCTGAAATGGCAGCATAGCTTCCCCAATTGTATAGTCATTATTCATTAGATTTGTTCTTTATTTTTTTCTTCCATAGATCTCTAAGAGCTAAAAAAATGATCTTATATAACAACCTTTTTATTAAGTATAAATTTGTGAATTGTTCAGTACTGAAGCAGACCTTTCTCTTTTAGGTTATACCCAAAGTCATTTAGATATAATGAGCAACTGTAACAAGACTGAGGATTTTCATCAGCAGGCTTAGCTAGCATTTGTCATAACTGGGGATATTGGGATACAAGCTTCTGGTATTTGAATTGTTGATTTCATCAACATGTACATAAAGCTGCTGCATCACATTATACAGAATTATACAAGATAACTATTCTGTTGAAACTACTCCCTTTCTTCAAATTTAGGTAGTTCTCTGAAAGAACTGGATCAGTGTCTGGAACTCATCTTCCTTGGGGGATTAGTGATTTGCTTCAGAGGATTATGCTAATTTTTGAAGTGATAGTTTGTTATTTGGCTACTTCCTTCATGACTTGATAGACATCAGTTTGCCAGAATTCTATTAATAACTGCTTCTTGAAATCATGTGTGCTTATGCTTGTGTCAACATTGGTGGTACCTAACCAGGATGGTCTTGAGTCTTTCTTAGTTTCTTTCAATTTTTGTAAGAATCTGGTTCTTCTTCAATGATTTGCTTCCAAATTATGTGTCCAAAAGATTTAAGCTTTAGTTTCCTAATTAGTGTTTTCAGTGAACTATCTGTTTTCCTTCGTCTGATATTCAATTATTTGTCCTGCATTCTAACTAAAAAAGAAATGCATTTCTTAAGTCCCTTTTCTGCCGGTTTGGAAACTTCTTTGGTACAGTTAGCTGGAAATCAGACGTGTGTTGGTGACACGAATCACATAAAAAATGAACTAAATTATAAAGCCATATGATAGCTGTTTGTTATGCTGTTTAAAAACAGAGAAAACACAAAAGACTAATGGGTACACAGCTAGGACCTCACCCACACAGGATGTTACGAAACAGCCGACTAATCTGCAAACATCAACTCCATCAACTAATCAAGATGTAACAACACAGGCAACCAACCCGCTCACAGCAACAACCCGCTCACAGCAACCCCACACCTCCCCACCAGTATTTATAGAGAGACAGCAGCTCCGATCACACTTTCCTCGCACAAGCATGAAGCCGAAGACACCAGCCTGAAGATGATGAGTGGGACCTCGCCGAAATGCTGCCAAGATTCTCTCAATCTTACACAGGAAAAGACCCGAATACACCAAAACTCTGGCTCAGATATGTAGATGACACTTTCATAATTTGGCCACACGGAAAGAAAAAACTGGACAACTTCTTCACACATCTTAACAACCTACACCCCAAAATACAATTTACTATGGAAATAGAAGCTAACAACCAACTCCCCTTTCTGGATGTCCTAGTCTACAAAAAACCCAATGGCTCCCTAGGACACACCATCTACCGGAAAAAAACACACACAAACTGCTACTTAAATACCCAATCACATCACCACCCTGCACAGATCAACTCCATAGCCAAGACTCTCATTTCCAGAACCAAATGCCTAGCCGACAAAGACCACCTGAAAACTGAATTACACACTCTCACAAATGTATCAATCTCTAACGGATTCCAAAGAAACACAATTACCAACCTAATCCAAAGGGAGACATCCCCCAAGAACCAAGACACAGAACAGGACAACGGCATCGCCCTCCTCCCTTACATCATTTTATCACAGATAAAATCAGCAAAATTCTGCACAAACACAGTATCAGGACAACTTTCTGCCCTGACCAAAAAATAGCCAACATCTTAAGAAACCCCAAAGATAAGATCCAGCTAGAAAACCAAGGACTGTATGAAATACCATGCAAAATCTGCCCCGCCATATACATTGGACAAACCAATAGGAGAATAAATGCACACATCGCAGAACACAAAAACGCAGTCAGAAAAGAAGAAAAAACTTCCTCCCTTTTCCAGCACCTTAAAACAACAGGACATGAAATTGATTTTGAAGGAACCAAATTAATCTCCAAAACTGAACAGTTCAACAACAGAATAATTATGGAAGCCATTGAAATAGAGGAACACCCCCATAACGTGAATAAACGTGATGATACATCCTGGCTACCAGACATCTGGAAACTAGCCCTAGTCAACAAACGAGCCCCAGCCACAAACATTGACATCAGACCCAGGATAACACATGACGCCACCACCAATCATCCTCACCAGACTCAAACCCAATCTCTTTTTAGGAAACAAAAGTTTTTTATTTTTATATTCAAACAACCAAACATTACACAATCAATTATCATACATCATTTTATCCCCACCCAACCCCCCCTCCCCAATTCCCCCCCAACTTCCCAGAGCAAAAACAGGATATAGCATTTAACAAACATAAGCTAAAATATGCTAACTATTACAGAATTCAAAACTCTCTCACACTTGTTAACTCCCCTTTTTATAAATTATACTTCAACCTTCCTTTTATAAATTCTCTTATCACATTTCACTTTTGTAAAAAAAAACCAAAAAACCATAATCTTATTTTAAATATTTTAAAATCTCTTAATACATTAGCAGAACATTCTCCAAAATATAAGTTTCAAAACTTTCAAAAAGTTATCCATTAAATTTTAAGTTATCCTCCTTTAAACTTCAATACTTTAAAACTACCATAAAATTCAGAAGTTATCCAACTTTAATTAAATCTTTTAACATCATGAGACAATCTCCAAAATATGACCAGTCTTTCTTTCTTTCTATATTTTTTCCAGTCCTTCTTCAACAATACTTTCTTCTTCAGCACTGCTCCTCCCCCTGCTTTTATTTTCAAAAAATTTTGGGTTTGAAATTGTAATTGGTATGTCTTAGGAATTCGTTCTCTTCTTGGGGTTGTTTCCTTTAATTTGAAGCCCCCATTTCGACTCTTCCTGCATTTGTAATCCATCAGTTCGTTCCTTATGTATTGATTCTGTCTGTAGAGCCAAAACTTGTCAAAATATTTATCAACCTGCAGTAAAGAGTCTTCTTGCTGTTTCTCAGTTAATTGAATGGAAGCCTCTTCCAGAACCTGTGTTTTTGATATAATAACCTCCATTTTCCCAACAATGTCTCTTTTGTCCTCCAAAGGCAAATTGTCCTGATTTTCTTCCTCTTTTCCAGCTAGCAAGTCATTATTATTCCCCAATTTAAAATCTTGAATAGTTCTTTTAATTATCTGTCTTATCTCAGCAGTAAAAGATTTTAAAAAGTCTTTTAAGTCCTTCACAGTCACTATTTGTAAGTTTGCTGACTCATATAATCCATCTTTAATTTCAGCCATTTTTCAATTGTCTCTTTATGTTTGTATTAATTCGGCTATCAGGTCATTAACTCCAATTATTTCCAGGCAAATTAGGGATATAAGTTAGTTAAAATCAATACCACATTCCACTTCCTCTTTAAATCTTTTTTCTTGAATTACCCGATAGCTTTAACAATGTTACTGATGTTAACAAGAACTTTCAGTTATAAGTTTCATGCCCTAAGGCGCCATCTTTTTTTTAAAACGGAGTTAACGTACAATACTTGCATTTTTAGTCTCCTGGATTAATTCTGCCAGCATCCAAAGTCCTAAATCCAAATTCTTTATAATCCTTCTAGTTGCTTTGCTGGTGTGGTTGCGACGCTTCGGTTTGCTTTAAGCAGACTCGTCCCGGCTCCGGAGCTTTGAAGGGCTTTCAGCGAGCTCTCACCCTGCAAACCCCAGGCTTAAAAAAAAAAAGCCTGAGGGTCTAGGGGAGCTCTACCCAGACCCTTCTGCTCTTCTCTCCCCCTTTTCTCTGGGGGAGAGTTTTAAAGCCGCTAGACAGCTGATTTTCGCTGTTCTAGGGGCTATACGGAGTCACGGGGCTGGAGCTCCTAAAAGGAGCTCCGTCGGCGTTTTGTGGAGCCACTGGAAGTCGACTCAAACCCAATCTCATCCCATAGACGAAATGCAACCACCATCCAGGGCCTGGACCACGGCGGCATCGCCAGCTGCTGCGCCCCCACCCGATCCTCACACAAAGCAAACTAACACATGCCATGAGTACATGACAAGACCTCAGACTCGAAGCCAAACCAAAACCTGGGATGTTGCATCACAGCCATCTGCTCAAGACAATACATCACAGAACTCAGGATGTTACAACATCAAAGCTCAGGATGTCACAACACAGCCAACTACCCAGGATGTTGCAGCGCAGGACTCAGGATGTCACAACAATAGAGCTCAGGATGCTACCACACAACACATTACCCAGGTCATTAAAACACAAAAGACTAATGGGCACACAGCTAGGACTTCACCTACACAGGATGTTACGAAACAGCTGACTAATCTGCAAACATCAACTCCATCAACTAATCAAGATGTAACAACTCAGCCAACCAATCTGCCTACAGCAACAGAGCCAGCACTTCACACCTCCCCACCAGTATTTATAGAGAGACGGCATCTCCGATCACGCTTTGCTCGCACAGACATGAAGCCGAAGAAACCAGCCTGAAGATGACGAGTGGGACCTCGTCGAAACATCACCAAGATACTCTCAATCTTACACTGGAAAAAACCCGAATACGCCAAGACTTGCATACCTGTACCGGTGAAAATCTACGAAAATATCTATATCTATATCTATATCTATATCTATATCTATATCTATATCTATATCTATATCTATATCTATATCTATCTATCTATCTATCTATCTATCTATCTATCTATCTATCTATCTATCTATCTATCTATCTATCTAAAAGTATTACTTGGCCTGTTGTGTGGATGTTTGAGTGGTTCAGGGGTGGGGAATTTGTGGTGGATGGGGGGGGTGTTTGGGGATTGTTATGTGTATTGGGCCTGGTCTTTGGGTGTTATGTGAATTTTGTTGTATGGGTATACTGTGTATATACGTACAATGACAATAAAGTTATAATAATATATTTTAATTAAAGAACAAAATGCTAGCCATACCATAAAGTACTTTGTTTTGGCTAACATGAGATAGATACATTTAAATACTGCTATTTGGTGGCATATAGATTAGAGGTACACAATGCATAAGAGTAGGACTAGTTGTTAATTGTAACTGATTTTTAGATCACCTTTTATATTTCTTAAATTGCACAAGCTACCACAACATTTTTCAAGTAAAAAAACCAAAATGCTAGTATCTGTATTCAAAACTCCAAATGTATTTTGAAGGAAACTTTTGTCGCATCAACCAGCTTAAATACTAAGATTACAGGGGCAAACTTGCCTGAATCCTGTCTGATGGGAATGGAGCAAAAATAGTATTTTCATCTATTGTGTTTTGTTTATTAAACGTTCTATCTAGGAAAGCTGAAGTCTAGGATTAGTGTTCTATTTTGAACAGATTTAGGAGTTGTGGAATTATTGGATGATAGATATTTTCAATAAGTAAATAAATGTGAAGTCTTTATAGTATGACCAGGATCAGGAGTGACCACAGGCATAAAGAAAAGGTATTGCATTTTCAGTTCAACATATAGTTTCTGCTTACCAACATAGAGCTGACTATAGAGTTCTAGTCGAGTGTGACCTTCCGTGGGAGCCTTCCGGATCTCTCTAGGGAATTGATCTACTTGCAGGCTGGCTTCTTTGACATTGCGCTCTGCAATCACTCGATGCCACTGATCGTCAATGAGCGGATGGGGTGACTTGACAATAATTTCTACTGGGCCATTTCCAACATTAAATGAAAAAGATACATCTGTGGCAGCTGATGAGAGAAGGTTAGAGAAATATAAATTTAATACAGATTCTGCTAATTTGTGATTTTTTAAAAAAAAATCTCTACTTGCAATTATGTTTATTTTAATGAATTTATAGCATAGATTTTGAATGTGTACAACAAAAGATAATCTTCTGAACACAATATCCATATAACAATAAATTCAGGTAATAAAAATGGCTTTAGTCATTTAGTTATTAAACAGGATGATTGTTAGAACTTAATCAGGATTAAGGATATTCCAGGAGGAGTGAATCCAAATGTAGGGCTGTTGCTGAGAACGCCTTTCTTCTCTTGCCTATACTTTACAGACTTTTGAAGTAATCATCATCAGGTCATTCCTGTATGTTCAGACCATATAGGCACTCACATTTGAAAAGGTTTCAGCTATCTACCAGGTTATGTCTTATTGGGCCTCAGAGATGATAACCAGCACTTGAATTATAACAGTAACAGTAACAGAGTTGGAAGGGACCTTGGAAGTCATCTAATCCAACCCCCTCTCATGCAGGAGACCTATACTAGGGATTCGAAGCACCAAACTTCCTGATCAACAAGCTCAGCGTCTTACCACTGAGCCACTCAGCCAAGCTTAATTAGACCTAGCAATCAAGACAGCAACCTCAAAATGAGGCCACACAGGATGGACATTGTAATACTTGAAACATGCGTTTTGTAGTACTGTTGCACTGGCTAACTAACATGGGCTTTTTTGTATTTTAAATTTGTTTTTCACCTATATTGCTAATAATTTCCCATAAACCGTAACCTTCAAGAAAAGCCTCTTTCAGAAACCAGGACAGGCAGGAAAGCATTCAATATATTGTAGATAAGAGTTTCCTTTTCATCTGTTTTCAAGCCTTCATGAACAAAGAAAACAGTCCAGCAAAACCTTGGAAAACACTGAGAATGTATTTTATCCATATTCATTTTGATGTTTTTTCTTTTACACAGAATACAATGCTCTTTTCTATGGCTATGCTCACATATGACTTGATTCTTGTAATGTAATGTAAGGTAAATTGGTTTTAAATGATCTTCTGATTTGGTTGCTTATTGGAAACGGTAAACCGAGGCAGAACCTAGGGACATATTGGCCAACCTTTTACAGTCCCACTAATCATCCCCCCTTAAATAAGCATTTACTATCTCTTAACCACACACAATATGCCATCTGAAGAAGAAAGGAAAGCATGGATCATCCCTTGATAGGGAATCCTACCTACTTCCTCAGGTTACACAAATTCTAAAGACAGCATTACAAGACAGGCCCAATCCACATCAAAAATAAAACAGCCACTTTATCCACATGGAAATCTGCAATATTATCCAGATTACCCTTACACCTTTTCCTAAAAGTATTTTTGTAACTCAGTACAGTAAGTTTGAATATGAATGTTTACCAATGCTCAGTTGCATCTAGTTTGCTTTAATTTACAGTTAAAATATATTAAGATTTTAATAGTATGAAATCTTCTTACACATTAATTAAGTAAAGTGATAATAGTTATTTTATGATGGGACCTTTTAGAATAGACAACTAGCTATATTAATTGTTTCATTTATGGAAATCTTTTTTTCTTTATGACACAAATTGGAAAAGATTATTTTACTACTATACTACTATTTTATAGTTTAAAATATATTTTTTTCATATTTTCAAAGTCTACAATTATATAAAATATATAAAATACATTTTAATGATCATTTTGATTATAAACTTTAGCTTTCAGATTTTAAATCCCATACTATTTTGTATATAAATTTTTCCAGAATAAAAATCTATTAATATTGTTTTATCTCACTTTTTGGGGAGCACTGGGGTAGTGTGGGGGTCTGCAAAGGTTGCAAAGCATACTCTAAATTATTCATTCTTGCACTAGATCAGGGATCTGAAACCTTAAACACTCAAAGAGCCATTTGGACCCGTTTCCCACAGAAAAGAAAACACCAAGAGCCAATAATGTAACAACTGGTGTGACTGGGTGGGTATGGCCACCTCGATGTCACTCACTCCCACCCAGTCACATGAACCCCAGCCATGCCTACCGAACCAGTCATTAGGGCAGAGAACTGGTTGTTAGATTATTTGCCTCACCCGACCCCACCTCATCCCTTCCCTCCCAGCCATCTCTCGCCACACCTGGCCTCGGGTATGTTGTTCACCTCTCTCTCTCTCCCTCTCTCCCTCCCTCTCTCTCTCTCTCTCTTTCTCTCTGTCTTTCTCTGTCTCTGTCTCTGTCTCTCTGTCTCTTTTTCTCTTTCGCTCTGTGTTTCTCTCTCTGTTTCTCTCTCCCTTGCCAAGAGGGAGAGTGGGGCAGGGTTGCATTGTGGCTCCACATAGTAATGGGCTCCAGGAGGAGGAGGGGACCCCATCTCCTCCATTGTGAAGCATGCTAAATTTCACTGTGCTGCGCAAGGCACAGCGGGCAGGCCATTGAAGTGGCAACAGCTCTGAGCCTGAAGCAGCTTACACCTCCGAGCCTGAAGTGGCAGGAGGTGAGGGCTGCCTTGAGTGCAAAAGTACTGTGACAAAGGCAAAATGCTGTTGCTGCACACAGGCAAGTACAGCGGTGCTTCGCTCCCACTCTGGAATATGGAGCAAGTCTCCATCTCCTGCCATTGTCCTTACCTTCTCTGGCCAGGCGAGGAGTGACTGGGAGGGGAAGGGCGGGGCCAGCCAGTGATTGGATCAGTTGACAGGGAGCAGCAGCAGAAGGCCGAAAGAGCCACATGTGGCTCCAGAGCCACCGGTTGCTGACCCCTGCACTAGATCAGTAAATAAGTCCATGAACACATTTTAACAAATCAGAGCACACGAACTGTGACACGTTTCAACACAGTTTCATTTTGGAATCTTGATGATAACCATTTGAGATTTTACGTGATAAATGAGTTACATTTTTAATAATTAATAACTAAAATCAATAATTTAAAAATTATTTATTTATTTATTTTTCATATTTGTATACCGCCCTACTCCCGAGGGACTCAGGGCGGTGAACAGCCATAAATAAATACAAAGACATACAAAAGTTAAAAACTATTAAAAATATTAAATAATTTAGGATTAGGTTCAAAGATTAAAACATCCAATTTAACTAAAAGAGATTTAAAACCCAATTTAAACCCAATTTAAAGGCCAATTTAAAAGGGAGAGTTAGGCCAGACCAACCTGTTGGAATAAAAACGTTTTTAGGGCGCGGCGGAAGATGCGTAGGTCTTGGATCCTCCGTATCTCCGGGGGGAGCTCGTTCCAGATGGCAGGTGCCCCCACAGAGAAGGCTCTCCTCCTGGGGGCCGCCAGTCGACATTGTTTGGCTGACGGCACCCTGAGGAGCCCCTCTCTATGGGAGCGAACTAGTCGGTGAGAGGCTACTGGTGGCAGGAGGCGGTCTGGTAAGTACCCTGGTCCTGAGCCATGGAGCGCTCTAAAGGTAGTAACCAAAACCTTGAAGCGCACCCGGAAGACCACCGGGAGCCAGTGCAGCTCGCGCAGGAGGGGGGTCACATGAGAGCGCCACATTGCTCCCGTCACCACCCGCGCGGCCGCATTCTGGACCAGTTGGAGCCTCTGGGTGCTTCTCAAGGGGAGCCCCATGTAGAGAGCATTACAATAATCCAGGCGTGAGGTGACAAGGGCGTGAGTGACCGTGCGTAACGAGTCCCGATCCAGAAAGGGACGCAACTGGCGAATCAGGCGAACCTGATAAAAAGTCCTCCTGGCCACGGCCGTCATATGTTGTTCTAAAGACAGCCGCGAGTCTAGGAGGACGCCCAAGTTGCGAACCCCATCTGTGGGGGCCAACGACTCGCCCCCAATAGTCAGAGATGGCACCAACTGACTATATCGGGACGACGGAAACCACAGCCACTCGGTCTTGGATGGGTTAAGCCTGAGTCTGTTCCTCCCCATCCAGATCCGTACGGCCTCCAGGCATCGGGACATCACCTTGAGGGCATCATTGGGGTGGTCTGGGGTGGAGATGTACAGCTGGGTGTCATCAGCGTACTGATGGTACTTCACCCCAAAACCACGGATGATCTCACCCAGCGGCTTCACATAAATGTTGAACAGAAGGGGCGAGAGGACCGATCCTTGTGGCACCCCACATATAAGGGGCCTCGGGGTCGACCTCTGCCCCCCTGTCAACACAGACTGCGACCGGTCAGAGAGAAAGGAGGAGAACCACTGTAAAACAGTGCCCCCCACCCCCAACCCTTCCAACCGGTGCAGCATATCATGATCGATGGTATCAAAAGCCGCTGAGGGGTCTAATAGGACCAGGACAGAGGAGCAACCCCTGTCCCGAGCCGTCCAGAGATCATCAACCAATGTGACCAATGCTGTCTCTGTGCTGTACCCGGGCCTGAAGCCCGACTGGAACGGATCTAGATAATTTGCTTCATCCAGGTACTGAGGCAGTTGTCGTGCAACCACACTCTCAACAACCTTCGCAACAAAGCGAAGGTTGGAGACAGGACGATAATTTGCTAACACAGCTGGGTCCAGGGAGGGCTTCTTGAGGAGGGGCCTCACCACCGCCTCTTTCAAGGCGGCAGGAAAGACACCCTCACTCAAAGAAGCATTTATAATCTCCTGGAGCCAGCCTCGTGTCACCTCGCGGGAGGCCATTACCAACCAGGAGGGACACGTGTCCAATAAACATGTGGTCGCATTTAGTCTGTTCAGTATCCTGTCCACGCTTTCGGGAGTCACAGGATCAAACTCTTCCCAAATAATATTCTCAGGACCTGCCCTTGTCATCTCCCCTGGATCAACCCAGTCAGAGTCCAGCTGTTCCCGAATATGAGCGATTTTGTCATACAGATATTATACAAAATCCTCAGCTCTACCCTCCAAGGGATCTTCCCGCGCCCCTTGGTGGAGCAGGGAGCGGGTCACCCTAAACAGGGCGGCTGGGCGATTATCTGATGACGCAATAAGAGCAGAAAAGTAGTTACTCTTCTCTACTCTTATCGCCACT